GCAGGTGCGGGTTGGCTGAGATTGGTGGAGTATTGCCCCATTCAGCTTAATGAACCACCCTCCTCTGGCTCTCTTAATACAAGTCTGCAGTTGGGTTACACACAAGGTTATATACAGCTCCCTGGCAGGGCTGCTAACACAGGGATGCACAAAGGTGCCTCTCTAATTCAAGGGAAGCGAGGGAGGGAGTGGGTAATCTGGAGGCTAGATTTCATGGGACGGTGCATGCAGTCAATTCACTGTGCTACTGCACAGCTTAACAGTTTAGCAAATCTCTCTGTCCTTGTAGAATGGAAGGCCAGTCTTCCGCTTTCTGTAACACACTAGACGCAAAGTAGCTTAATTCCTCTTCCTGTAACACACTAGAAGCAAAGTACCGTATTTTTCGCCCTATAGAATGCACTTTTCCCCCTCCAAAAATGAAGGGGAAATGTGTGTGCGTCCTATGGGGCGAATGCAGGCTTTCGCTGAAGCCTGGAGAGCAAGGGCATCGGTGCGCACCGACCCCTCTCGCTCTCCAGGCTTCAGGAAGCTATCCGGAAGCCTTGCGAGCCCGGGGGAGTTCCCGCGGGCTCGCAAGGCTTGCGGGCAGCAGCCTGCAGCCCGGAGCATGGGGCGCCCTCCGGAGGACGCCCCATGCTTCGGAAACGTGTCTGCAAGCCTCCCGTGCCCGGCGGGAGGTCTGCGGGGCTCGCAAGGCTTGCAGGCAGCAGCCTGTTTTGGGGGCTTGGGTCGGGGGAAGCTCGGGCTTCCCCCGCGCCAGCCCCATGCCTGGGGGGGAAATAATTTTTTTTCTTTATTTCCCCCCCAAAAAACTAGGTGTGTCTTATGGGGCGGTGCATCCTATGGGGCTCAAAATATGGTAGCTTTTAAAAAAATAATAATTAAATTGGGGAACCCTTAACTTCCAAACCTGCTTATTAAAATCACCCCTTCCTTGCTAAAACTGGCCCCTACTGGTCAACTGCACTGCCAGTGATTTCCCAGGCATTATTTCATCTTTGCATCTTGATTCCTGAGCCTTAAAGGAATTGAGGGTCTTTGAGAAATGCACTCTCTGCTCATCCTCTGGCAAGGGGAGAAGGGGAACAGAGTACCAATGAATTATTGCCGTCAGATTGGTGGTTAGACAGGAGAGGGTTAATGGGACCAGAAGGCCAGCTGAAAGTTGGTCAAACCTGTCTGCTGGCTCCAACCAGGCACCTCCTATTGTTAGGTAAAGGTAAAGGTACCCCTGCCCATACGGGCCAGTCTTGACAGACTCTAGGGTTGTGCGCCCATCTCACTCAAGAGGCCGGGGCCCAGCGCTGTCCGGAGACACTTCCGGGTCACGTGGCCAGCGTGACAAGCTGCATCTGGCGAGCCAGAGCCACACACACGGAACGCCGTTTACCTTCCCGCTAGTAAGCGGTCCCTATTTATCTACTTGCACCCGGGGGTGCTTTCGAACTGCTAGGTTAGCAGGCGCTGGGACCGAGAAACGGGAGCGCACCCCGCCGCGGGGATTCGAACCGCCGACCTTTCGATCGGCAAGCCCTAGGCGCTGAGGCTTTTACCCACAGCGCCACCCGTGTCCCCCTCCTATTGTTAGGTAAACTAAATACTTAGGTAACTGGTTTGGTGATGCAGAACTATTTGGGGAACCGTTCTAAACAAGTAGATTCCCCCTCAGAAGAGAGAGGAAGACCTCCTTCTCCTCACTCCCAGCTGTGGATGAGGTATCCCAGGTGCAATCTGAGGCTGTCTCCTAGTAAGTTTTACTGAAATTAATTAATTCAAGTTAGACATGATAGAAGCCTGCTGCATCAGGCAAATGGCCCATCTAGTCTAGCATTCTGTTCCCACAGTGGCCAAATTCCACACTTTAGCCAAGTACTTTATTTTATCTGTCATGAATCCTTCAACACTCAGCTTCATTTGACGCCATGCCTGTTCTATTCACTGGGTCTACTCTAAGTAGAAAACCCTCCTCCTTTGCACTTCCGTGAGCCGAAATGCAGCTAATCCTTCGAGATTCACCCATTTCCAAATTTTGCGGTGCAGTTCTCCAGCCAAAGGCATGGCAATAGGTACCATATTTTTCGCTCTGTAGGACACACCAGACCACAAGACACACCTAGTTTTTGGAGGAGGAAAACAAGAAGAAAAAAAATTTTGAATCTCAGAAGCCAGAACAGCAAGAGGGAGCGCTGCGCAGTGAAAGCAGCAATCCCTCTTGCTGTTCTGGCTTCTGGGATAGCTGCGCAGCCTGCATTCGCTCCATAAGACGCACACACATTTCCCCTTACCTTTTAGGAGGGAAAAAGTGAGTCTTATAGAGCAAAAAATACGGTATCTAATATTAGGAGGAAGTGTGCACATATATGCATCTATTACTGAAAATAAAATGAAATGCATTCAGTGGGTGGGGGGGGAATTCCTTTGCAAAAATACACATGTTAGGAGGAGAAATGTGTGCTATAAAACGCTGGTGGATTTTGTCAGGCCTTAAAAACAAAGTTCTCAAACTGACAGGGAAATGTGGCAAACTGAACTGAAGACTGGGGAAATGAGAGAAACCAAAAAGGACCGATCCGTCCATCCCTAAGTCTGAGTGAGACACAGTGAGTTAAAGTTGACCTCTGGATCCACTTGGGTATCTTGATGTGGAAGCAGAGGACTTTTATAGTCTGTTGGAGAGTTTGGGCTTCTTGCCTCTGCTTAACCCAGTGCTTTTTTTCTGGGGGGACACATACCCCTAATCATTTTGTAAATCTAAGTTTGGCCTCATTGAAGGGCAGTATTTCAATATGAGTAGGAAGGTCGGCAGTTCGAATCCCTGCGACGGGGTGAGCTCCCGTTGCTCGGTCCCAGCTCCTGCCCACCTAGCAGTTCGAAAGCACGTCAAATGCAAGTAGATAAATAGGTACTGCTCCGGTGGGAAAGTAAACGGTGTTTCTGTGCGCTGCTCTGGTTCGTCAGAAGCGGCTTAGTCATGCTGGCCACATGACCCAGAAGCTGTCTGTGGACAAACGCCGGATCCCTTGGCCTATAGAGCGAGATGAGCGCACAACCCCAGAGTCGTCCGCGACTGGACCTAATGGTCGGGGTACCTTTACCTTTGCCTTTAGGAAAATGAGAATACCCCTAAACATTTTTTTTAGAATAAAAGCACTGGCTTAACCTATATATTTGCAAACACGCACAAATATTAGGAAGCACCAACAATCTCCCCAAAGACCCCCTTCCCCCACAACCAAACCCAAGTGAATGCTTGGACTCTTTACCTGCTTGGAAAAGTGGGGTTGAGCATAAGAATATAGCATTTTCTAGCAAGAGCAGAGCAGGTGGGAAGGAAACGGAGACGACTCTACAGTGCCATCTTGTGGCCCCTGTTGAAATCAGCTTATTTGTCAGCCTGGATGGCCTTTTAGGAGATTTTCCCTTCTCCTGTATTCACGTTGGCAGAGTTAAGCAGCAACTGGTGGATTTTTGCAAGGGTTTGTGCAAGAGGATGTCTCTCTTCTGCTCTCCATATATTTTGGCCTACCAGGTCTGAGACCTCCAGATGTTGCTGAAGTGCAGGCAAAAGATAAAGGTAAAGGACCCCTGGAAGGTTAAGTCCGGTCAAAGGCAACTATGGGGTTCATATCGCTTTCAGGCTAAGGGAGCCAGCGTTTGTCCACAGACAGCTTTCCGGGTCATGTGGCCAGCATGACTAAACTGCTTCTGGCACGACGGGACACCATGATGGAAACCAGAGCGCACAGAAACACTGTTTACCTTCCCGCTGCAATGGTACCTATTTATCTACTTGCACTGGTGTGCTTTCAAACTGCTAGGTTGGCAGGAGCTGGGACAGAGCACCGGGAGCTCACTCCGTCATGGGGATTCGAATCGGCAAGCCCAAGAGGCTCAGTGGTTTAGACCACAGCGCCACTCGCGTCTCTGAAGTGCAACTCCCATGCTTGGCCACAAAGGCTGGAGCTGATGGTCATTTGAGTCCAGCAATATCATCAGGGCTATGGAAGAATCTGTAGGGACGGAAGAATCTGCCCATTTCAATTTCTCTGTTTCTATTTTTTCCCAGTCTCTAGCTTGCTTTCCCCATTTCCACATAATTGGGATTTATTCACTGAATCGCAGAATTGCAGAGTTTGAAGAGACACTCCAAGGGTCATCTAGCCCAACCCCCTGCAATGTAGGATTCGTGTCGGCTTAGTTGGTGCGGTCCTGACAGCGGCGGCAGGTCCTTTTTTGTAATCCCAGGGGGGCTATGTGTGTGTGTGCACCTCCCTCTTTCTCTCAAATCAGCAGGATTTCACAGGGAGCAAAGCGGCTGTTCGGTTGTTGCTAACCGAGGATTCGCTCCCTGGTCCTGGGTTCAGGAGAGGAGGGTGGGGCGGAAGTGGGGAAATTTCTTTCTTTTTAAAAAAGCCCTCATGAAAATTCATTGGTAAATCTTGCCTAATATTCACATGTTTATATGCTGCTTTGCCTAATGGTTGCGTTTCTGGCCTGCGTGGTGTAGTTCCTGTGGTGTAGTGGTTAAGAGCGGTAGTCTGCTAATCTGGGGAACCGGATTCGCGTCTCCGCTCCTCCACATGCAGCTGCTGGGTGACCTTGGGCTAGTCACACTTCTCTGAAGTCTCTCAGCCTCACTCACCTCACAGAGTGTTTGTTGTGGGGGAGGAAGGGAAAGGAGAATGTTAGCTGCTTTGAGACTCCTTAAAGGGAGTGAAAGGCGGGATATCAAATCCAAACTCTTCTTCTTCTTCTTCTGCTTGTGGACTTCCTGGAGCCAGCCAATTGCCTGCTATGGGAAACAGGAGGTTCGGCAAGGGAGGCCTCTGGCCTGATCCTGCAGAGCTCTCCTTGGGTTCTTTATGAGAGAGAGAGGGAGAGGGAGGAAGAGAGGCTCTAAAGGGGTTTTCCATGTCATGTACAGCAATGCACCCCAAAGTCCGAGCAATCATGAGTTTGCTTCCATTTCACTCCCCGCTCACTTCCTTTGGTTCTAGGAGGAACTCAGGAGGGTTGCTCGGAAGAAAGTGACTGTACCCAGAAATCTGGATCTGGATGGCCAGTGGCAACTCCGAATGAAGTTTCTCGAGCGGGCGAAGAGTTACATTGGCGTGCCTTACGCACAAAAATACCATCAAGCTGGAAGTAAGAGCCATTTGCTTTCCCAGGCTGTTTTGTTTTCGAAAAGCAAGGGTGTAGGAGACTCCCTGTGACACCAAAATACTGCTGAGATAAGCAATCCCTCAGAACACTTTTCTTTCGTAAAGACGTCAAAAGAGCCCTGCTGGATGAGGCCCATCTAGTCCAGCATCTGGTTCTCACAGTAGCCGACCAGACGCCTGTGGGAAACTTGCTGGACGCTGGAGTTTCTTCTTACCTGAGGTGAATCTACACGCAGGGAAAGAAACACTATAAATAAGTAAGAAATTAAATCGTTAAAAGGAAAAAAACGCTATGGAAAATCGCTTAGAAATTATTTTGCTCTCTGGTGCCATCTGGTGTTGCATACTGTTTCTTGACTAACGTAGCTGAGTCCCTGGTCTGCTCATCTGTTCCCTGTTGCTCATTTTCCTTCTGGACGCTCTGCTTGAGGTTGCCATTTTGCTTCAACAATATTCCACTTTCCGGCTGACCTTTGCTTCAATTTCTTCCCCAGCTCCAGAATACAACTCTCCGCTCTTCCTGGACTGCTGCGGGTTCATCCGGAAAGTAATGTGGGACCTGACAGAAGAGTTTGGCTTCTGCATGGGCTTAGGAAACCAAGCTTATCAGTATGACACTCTTCCTATTACATTACCCAGCGAGGAATATCTGAAACCAGGAGATCTCATCTTCATTTCAGGAACTTACTTTGACACACAACGTAATGTGGCCTGTGCTGTCCATCATACTCCTCTTCCTGTCCTTTTCTGAATCTTCCTCCCATCCTTTTGCCTTTCTTCTTATCTCAAGCTCACCAGTTGTCGTTGGGTTTTTTTTTAGGGGGGGGTTCCATGGGCACATTTCTATGTTTCAGCAGGTGCCATCTGAACACTTCTGTCCCTCCCATCCCTCAGGACAACTTCCCTGCTCCGAAAAAGAAACCGAGCAAGGAGGAGCACACACACACACACACACACACACACTTGGCTTTTCCAAGGGAACTGGGCAAAAGCCAGATCCAATAGACTTAATCCGAGCCTTGAAAAGCGCACTGAGTTGAAAAACGAAGTGGGAAAGAGTGTCGCTCTCCAAACTTCCTCCTTCAACTATATGTACTTTTCCAAGGGAATCGAAGGTGGTGAGGGGGAGCACTGAGCATCTTTGTGGGCACTTTGTGGGCACCTTACAGGCACTGCTGCACCCAAAAGGTGCCATGTTGGTGATATATCACATCCCCGGCAGCCATTTTATAATATGCCATACCCTCATGGCAGCCATTTTGTGATGTTCCGCATCGCCCAGGCCAGCCATTTCATGACCAACGCCAGCAGCACTTCCTCAAAATTCCAAATGTGCCTGATGGCCTCAAAATCTTGGCTTCGAAATGTTTTGCCACTCCATTCAGACACCAGTTTCTGTCTTCATCTGAACCCTTCAGCACATGCACACCCCTCATGGGACCATCTGAATCCAATTTCTTCCTCTGAGGCGCTGAGGGGATTCTCCAGTGCCAGAATTCTAATGCATTAAGGCTCCCCTCCTCCTCATCCCCTTCCAGGTGTAGCTAAACATGCCAGTTTTCAAAGACTGTTTCCCAAGATGTACTCCTTCCCTCTCTGCAGGAAAAAGGCAGCCCCACGACATTGTCCACGTGGAAATCTGGTTGGGGTATGGAGAGCGCAGCCTAGGGGCCAGGTGGAAACGGGGCAAATCACAAGTCTTTGATTCCTACAAGTTTGTCTCCAGCACCTATGGGAACATGGAGTACCACTTCAAATCCATCGAGACGTGGCTCCAAGGCATCTGTGTCAGGCAAGTGTCTGCCCTGTTGAATGCTGGGAGATTCGGGGCAGGCAAAAAGGAGGACTTTCCATGCAGCACCTAGTTAAATTATGGAACTTGCTCCTGCAGGAAGCAGCGGTGGCCGCCAAGTTAATTGGCTTTAAAAGAGAGTTAGGCAAATCCATGGAGGAGAAGACTATCAGTGGCTACTAGCCATTATAACTATGTTCTACCTCTCCTGTCGAAGGCAGTAGTGCTCTGAATTCCACCTGCTAGGCATTGCAAGTGGAGAGAATATTGTTGTGCTCAGGAATCGCTCGTTGGCTTCCCGTGATTGGCCGTTGCGAGAACAGGGTCTGGTCTTAATGGCCCTTTCCCCTTACTCAATGATTAAATGTTTCAAATATCCCTGCACCTAGAAAAGTAGCAGGTCAAGGAAAGGCACCCTTTCAGATTGTGCAGAGAGAAGAGTGTTTCTCCCTCTCACATAACACTAGAAACACTAGACATTCAATGAAGCTGTCGGATGATTTGCAATAGATAAAAGTCCTTCTTCACGCAGCATATTGTTAAACTATGGAACTCCCTCCACAGGACACAGAAACAGCCACCAACTTGGATGGCTTCAAAAGAGGATTAGATAAATTCATGGAGCTACCAGTCATAGCTGTCAACGTTTCCCTTTTTAAAGGGAAATTCCCTTATTCCGAATAGGATTCCTCACAAGAAAAGGGAAAAGTTGACAGCTATGCTACCAGTAGCTACTAGCCATGATGTCTTTGTTCTGCCTCCAATGCCAGAGGCATTATGCCTCTGAATACCAGCTGCTGGGAATCACAGGCGGGCAGAGTTGCCGCAGCACTCACACACAGCTCTATCAATGGACATCTGGTTGGCCCCTGAGAAAACTAGCCGGGCCATTGACACAATCCAGCCATTCTCATCTTACAGTCTTTCAATGGGGCACTCCCAGGGTCCCGGCTGAAAATTCATCTTCTGTCCGTCATGCATGCTTAATTTGGGATGTGTGTGTTTCTTCCAAACTTCCAAAGCGTTGCCTAGTTTCCAAAAGGAAGCAGCAAGCGAGGTTTGTTTCGATCACCTCCACAGCTCTGGACTTTGCGGCCCTCCCCGGGTGTGTTTCCCCCTAACGCTCCCCGCCACCCTGCCATTGTCATTCCGTTGGCGTCGAGGACCGTATAATTTCTCATCCCCGGCGCGGCGCCTCTGGAAATGGTCGACGCCCACCATTGTCTCCTGAAACTCTCCCTCCCCCCTTTCCCTCTCCTCGCTCCTGGTCTCCGGTGCCCTGGCCTCCGCCTGCGGATTGGAAATCAAAGGTGTCATTACAATTTCAAAGGCTCTGCCTGAGCCGCGCTTTAAGCTGCTGCTGCTCAGAGGAGAAGGAACAAATGATGATCTGAAAAGCTCGGTTGCAACCCAGAAAGGCCAGTGAACCTGGTGTGCGCAATACCAGCTGCCGTTCTGCAAAAGTGCTTGCGGGCCTCATTCTGCCCTGAGTTAGAACCCACCTGCTGGTCTTCTTAGTTCCACTCAGTCCAGAGGGTAGCCCTGCCTGTGTGCTTCCTCGTGCTCCTTAATCTCAACATTGCCACTTGTAGAATCCAGCAGGGAGGAAGATGAGGACAAGCCTAGCATTAGGCGCCTGCCAACCTAGCACGCCTGCCAACCTAGCAGTTCAAAAGCACTCCCAGGTGCAAGTAGATAAATAGGGACCGCTTACTAGCGGGAAGGTAAACGGCGTTCCGTGTGCTGCGCTGGCTCGCCAGATGCAGCTTGTCACGCTGGCCACGTGACCCGGAAGTGTCTCCGGACAGCGCTGGCCCCGGCCTCTTAAGTGAGATGGGCGCACAACCCTAGAGTCTGGCAAGACTGGTCCGTACGGGCAGGGGTACCTTTACCTTTACCTTATACCTGAAGGAGCGTCTCCACCCCCATCGTTCTGCCCGGACACTGAGGTCCAGCGCCGAGGGCCTTCTGGCAGTTCCCTCACTGTGAGAAGCCAAGTTACAGGGAACCAGGCAGAGGGTTTCTCGGTACAGCGGTACCTCGGGTTACGAACTTAATTTGTTCTGGAGGTCCATTCTTAACCTGAAACTGTTCTTAACCTGAGGTACCACTTTAGCTAATGGGGCCTCCCGCTGCCGCTGCACCACCACCGCACAATTTCTGTTCTCACCCTGAAGCAAAGTTCTTAACCCGAGGTACTATTTCTGGGTTAGCGGAGTTTGTAACCTGAAGCGTCTGTAACCCGAGGTACCACTGTAGTGGTGCCCACCCTGTGGAACGCCCTCCCACCAGATTTCAAAGAAATAAACAACTAACTGACTTTTAGAAGACACCTGAAGGCAGCCCTGTTTAGGGAAGTTTTTAATGCTTGATCTTTTACCGTGTCTTTAATATCCTGCTGGAAGCAGCTAGGGAAACCCAGCCAGATGGGCAGGGTATAAATAATAAATTATTCTTATAATATTATTATCACCAGTCTCAGTGGGCACTTAGAGGGTCTCTTGCAGTGACGCTGTTAAGGCAGGACTTTGGAACACACTCCCATGGCCCCAACTCAGGAGAATGAGTAGAGCCGCCTGCAGATGGTCTGGATTTTGCATTACGCATACAATCGCATAACTGGAAATTTGGGTTTGCAGAAGTAAAGGGGATTACAGCACCCTAGGTCAACAATTTATAATTTATTTCCTTGGTGTTGAAAATTTGGACATTTGAGGACTTGCCCTAAGGTCACATGATCCAGGTAGTTCCAGAGACCTAGACGTTGTTTCAGAGGCTTTGAAGAATAAAGTGGTTTCGGGCAATTCCTTGTTCCTCTAGTTTGTAGACCCAGAATTGTTACATGATCTCATTAAGTGCAGGATGGGGAATGCTCTGGGTCCACACCCTGTCCTCCAGAGAGCATATCAGAATTGTTACGGGATCACCGTCCCACAAACAAATCAGGTATGACTTCCCCAGAAACCAATAAGAGAGAATGCTCCATCAATACCGTAGTCTAACCTCTGCATAAGCAATGTGCAAGGAAATCAGGATGAATGCTCAATAAACAGGTCATCCGGAAGAAGCCTTCAAATGTAATAGACTTGCCACATATTGCAGTCAGAGGAAGGACTTAAGCTCTTCGGAATAAGGCCAAAGGCTCATCTAGTCCCGCATCCTCTTCTTGTGGTGGTCAGCCAGGTGTCCCAGTAGGACGGTCTTAGCAGAGGAGGACCTGACTTTAGCAGCCCTCGCCCCACTTGCAGTTCCAGCAACTGGTATTACTCAGAGACAATTTGCCTCCGACAGTGAAGGTTCAGCATAGCCATTGTGGCTAGTAGCCATTGGAGAGTCGCCATGAATTTGACTAAGAGCTCATCCACACTTACTTTTGCTCAGGTAACAGGTCTGGGCTTTCTTTTTCTTTCTTTTTTTAAGAAAAAATGGATTTTTTTGGCATAAAATACAGTAAGTATTAGGCTAATCTACAAAACAGGAATAATAATAATAATACTACCAGAGAAAAAAGAGAAGAGGGGAAGAGAAAGAAAATACCTACAAGGCCCTTTACCATATTTATATCATATATCCTGTCATTTCCCCACATGTGGAGAGGTAGAGACACCCCCCCCCCATCTCCCACTTTCCAGGTCCATATCTGAGTGCTGATGTTTTGTTGTTGTTTTTTCCCCTGGTGAAAACTTGTTCTTTACTGCTGAATTAGAGCAAATGGCAATTCCTAATGGAAGTGATGGTATTCCAGCTGAACTATTTAAAATTTTAAAAGATGATGCTGTTAAGGTGCTACACTCAATATGCCAGCAAATTTGGAAAACTCAGCAGTGGCCAGAAGATTGGAGAAGATCAGTCTACATCCCAATCCCAAAGAAGGGCAGTGCCAAAGAATGCTCCAACTACCACACAATTGCACTCATTTCACACGCTAGCAAGGTTATGCTTAAAATTCTACAAGGAAGGCTCAAGCAGTATGTGGATCTAGAACTCCCAGAAGTGCAAGCTGGATTTAGAAGAGGCAAAGGAACCAGAGACCAAATTGCAAACATGCGCTGGATTATGGAGAAAGCTAGAGAGTTCCAGAAAGACATCTACTTCTGCTTCATTGACTATGCAAAAGCCTTTGACTGTGTCGACCACAGCAAACTATGGCAAGTTCTTAAAGAAATGGGAGTGCCTGATCACCTCATCTGTCTCCTGAGAAATCTCTATGTGGGACAAGAAGCTACAGTTAGAACTGGATATGGAACAACTGATTGGTTCAAAATTGGGAAAGGAGTACGACAAGGCTGTATTTTGTCTCCCTGCTTATCTAATTTATATGCAGAATACATCATGCGAAAGGCTGGGCTGGATGAATCCCAAGCTGGAATTAAGATTGCCGGAAGAAATATCAACAACCTCAGATATGCAGATGACACAACCTTGATGGCAGAAAGTGAGGAGGAATTAAAGAACCTTTTAATGAGGGTGAAAGAGAAGAGCGCAAAATATGGTCTGAAGCTCAACATCAAAAAAACGAAGATCATGGCCACTGGTCCCATCACCTCCTGGCAAATAGAAGGGGAAGAAATGGAGGCAGTGAGAGATTTTACTTTCTTGGGCTCCATGATCACTGCAGATGGTGACAGCAGCCACGAAATTAAAAGACGCCTGCTTCTTGGGAGAAGGGCAATGACAGGCCTAGACAGCATCTTGAGAAGTAGAGACGTCACCTTGCCAACAAAGGTCCGTATAGTTAAAGCCATGGTTTTCCCAGTAGTGATGTATGGAAGTGAGAGCTGGACCATAAAGAAGGCTGATCGCCGAAGAATTGATTCTTTTGAATTATGGTGCTGGAGGAGACTCTTGAGAGTCCCATGGACTGCAAGAAGATCAAACGCATCCATTCTTAAGGAAATCAGCCCTGAGTGCTCACTGGAAGGACAGATCGTGAAGCTGAGGCTCCAGTACTTTGGCCACCTCATGAGAAGAGAAGACTCCCTGGAGAAGACACTGATGCTGGGAAAGATGGAGGGCACAAGGAGAAGGGGGCAACAGAGGACGAGATGGTTGGATAGTGTTTTCGAGGTTACCAGCATGAGTTTGACCAAACTACGGGAGGTAGTGGAGGACAGAGGTGCCTGGCGTGCTCTGGTCCATGGGGTCACGAAGAGTCGGACACGACTAAACGACTAAACAACAACAACAAATTGCCATTTGCTCCAATTCAGTATTAAAGAGCAGGTTTTCATGGGGGAGGAAGCGCTGGGGCACTGTGCTTTAAAACAGGGGTCGGCAAGGTTTACCTTGCCTGGGGTGGTTCACTCCAGCAGAGATCCCTCTGTGGGCCTGCGATATCCGGTGTTTGCATCTGCACAGACACAATTTCCAGTGTCTGCACATGCGCAGACACGATTTCCGGCACCGCAAAAGCAAGTTCCCGTGCCACGCTGCACCAGTTTAGCACAGCTGAGCGGGCTACTTGGTTCAGGGGCAGCTCGTGGGCTGGTTAAATGACCCCCATGGGCCGCTTGTGGCCCATGGGCCTTACGTTGCTGAGCCCTGCTTTAAAACGTGGACCTGTTTCTAAAAAGCACAGGGCAAAAGGTAAGAATGGGGGAGCCCAAATCCTCTTCTTAAGCCATCCCAGTTGGTGGCCGTCGCTACCTTCCATGGGAGCGAATTCCAGAGTTTGACCATGGAGACCTCACACCAAAGGAATCTTGCTATGAGCATGCGCACAATCACAATCAAGTTGCCTGTTGAGGTGGCGGCTTTTCAATGTGCACTGCTGATGTGAACAGGGGCGGGACATGAACTGGGACTCTGCGCCAACTGGGCATGCACAGAGCTCCGTACAAAACCCAGCAGGTTCCCAATGCCCTTGGTGTTTGCCAGGATCTATGCACAGCTGCCCCGTGTGGCGAGCCTTTGAACTGCAGGTGGCAGCCTTCTCTGCGAAGAACCTTCAGGCCCCGGACTGACTCCGCCCACTCAGGCTTCCGCAGCCAATTCCAAACTCACTTGTTTTTCATTATGAGTGACGGGGAAGGGCAGATCTTCCCCAGGTAGGGCTGGGAAACACCTGGAGCACCACTGCCAGTCAGAGTAGACAATAATGAGTTTGATGGACCAAGGCCATCATTGTATAGATTTGTGGAGTCCTGCTGTCATTCTGCCTTCTTTTCCCAGCATTCCAGAGTGCAAAGTTTCCTGTGGCAATTTATCGGGACGCCTTGGAGCAAGCCTGGCACACCACTGGCACACGATAGTGAGGACTTTTCATGATGTCCAGCGCCAGCCCTGTTCTGATAGGGCCAATGTGCTTCCATCTGCGTGGGCACCCCACTTTCTCTTTAGTTCCACCCCCAGGCCCAGTACTGACTGCCATTTTGATTTCCCACAATGCCTCTGGCTCACATTGACCCAGGGCATTGTGGGAGGCCGGGCAAAGGCCTATCGGGACTCAGAAGAGCCCACTGTGCCGCTGCAAACCCGGAGTCCTCAAACATATGCACCACAAAGTCCCCGGGGCAGAAATCAAGCCTGCTCACTAATGCAGGAAATCCTTCACAATTCTAGCAACAGTTCCTAAGCAGCAGTTGCTAGGTGACTGGCCCTTGTTGATAGTGCTGAGACCTGCCTTTGAGCTGCCCAGGAAGAGGGAAAAATAGTTTGCTGCCTATAGATGCTCAGAGTGCCAGGGCTGGGCCGCTTGAGACGCTGGGGTCGCCTGAGCGCAGAGCAAAACACACGCCGAGCCTCCGAAACCCCGAGCCTGCTTGGGAAGCGGGGAGTTTGGCCAGCTTTAGACTTCCGTATGGCTCGGCTGGAATACAAACCCACAAATGCTTTATTAAAGCATTTAGGGCGTGCCAAGTTAAGGTTAGAGCTTCTGTTACTTTGCTTTCTGTTTGGGTTGGGTCTTCGTTTATTTATCACACAGGCAAGCTGCCTTACCCTGAGTCGGACCATTGGTCTGCTTAGCTCAGTACTGTCTACACTGACTGGCAGCAGCAGCTCTCCAGGGTTTCAGGCAGAGGTCTCTCCCAGCCAGAGATTGAACTTGGGACCTTCTGCATGCAAAGCAGATACTCTGCTACTGAGGTTTGGCTCTTCCATTAGGAAATGGGAACGCAGAAGGCTCCCTGGTGGGGAGTCAGACCATTGGGCCATCTAGTTGTGTAGTGTCTAGGGATAGCCCTATTCCCTTCAGTAGTTGCAATTCCCAGAGTGGCCTAACAACCAATCCCTCTTCACAGGGAACTCTGGGAACTGTAGTTCTTTCATGGGACTAGGAGGTTTCCTAACAACTCTCAGCACTCTGTGCAACACATCTCCCAGAATTCTTTGGGGGGGAGTCCTGGCTGTTTAAAGTGGTATTAGGTAAAGGTAAAGGGACCCCTGACCATTAGGTCCAGTCGTGACCGACTCTGGGGTTGCGGTGCTCATCTTGCTTTATTGGCCGAGGGAGCCAGCGTACAGCTTCCGGGTCATGTGGCAAGCATGACTAAGTCGCTTCTGGCGAACCAGAGCAGCACACGGAAACACCAGTTACCTTCCCGCCAGAGTGGTACCTATTTATCTACTTGTACTACTTGCTTTCGAACTGCTAGGTTGGCAGGAGCAGGGACCAAGCAATGGGGATTCAAACCGCATTGTTCTCTCCCTGTCCCCATTTTATTGCCACAACAACCCTGTAGGGTAGGCCACGCTGAGGCAGGGACTGCCCCAAGGCCACTCCGGTGAGCTTCACGGCAGGTTGAGGGATTCAAACCCTGGTCTCTTCCGCATTGGCTCCATTGCTATCTGAACTTGCAGTTCCTCTTTGGTTATTTTCACAGCCACTGTCCGGAGCACAGATGGGCGTCGTCCATGGAGCTCCCCAGCAAGCGATCAATCTTCTGTCTTCCAAGTGAACAAGGCGAGGATATGGGCGCTGAGGAAAACAGGCCGCAGCCTCCACTGAGGTCGGAAGAGATGGCCCTCAGGCTGGAGCCCATCGCGGAGACCGTCAGCAACTTTGAACTGAGCAGCAATGAGCAAGTGGAGGCCTTGGGCCTCCAGGGTCCCTCCGGAATGAATTTGGTGGACCTTGAGACAAACCCAGTTAAAGGAGGCCCGGTTACAGGGACTGGCCGAGCCCAGAGACAGTCTCCAGAAAGGACCCCGCTGGAGGCTGCAAGCCCAAGGGCGGGAGGCAGCGAGGTTTCGCTGGAGGGGAGCTCGTCCCAGGAGGAAGGAGGGTGTGAGGAGGGTCCTGCTCATGGCCAGGAAGCCGGCGCAGAGGCGAGGCCTCCCGGGCCCACTCAGCACACCGTCAGAAACCCACTCCCCATGTCCCACTCCAGCTCGAAGGTAAACCCCAAGGGGGTCTTAGCGGGTGGCGCTGGCAAGCGGAGGAAGAAGCACAGAGGACGAGGAGGTAATCAGAGCCCTTGAGGGATCTCCAGGGGTGGCACCAGGAGAATCCCGGGTTAGATAGAGAAGCAGGGTGCGGGGGGAGGACAACCGACCCTAGCAATGCTCACCTCACCTCTATTGGTTGGGCGCAGGGGAGTGGTGGGAGGAAGCACCAGAGGTAATGGAGCAATGAGGAGTGGTCCGAGGGAGACCGAGGGGTGGGAGCTTGTCGCAGCAGGAGGGGGAGACACCCTTGACTCTTCATCAGCCTGCCTCTGTGCCTCCTTCTCCTACTCCCCTGCTTCATGTCCGCCTCTGATTCTGGCCTCTCCCAGCTCACAAAGCCCTGCTACCTCCTCAGCTTCCAACACCTCCTCTTCCCGGTCTTCTCTGGGACTCCCTCTTGTCCCACCACCACTTCCTGGGCTCCGAGCCGTCTTCCCTTGGGGGTTCCTCAGCTGGGTCTTCCCACCGTTCCTCAGTGTCCGGTCTGCCCATGACACCCCCCTACTTTTGGCTTGGCTTGGCCCCTCTGAAAACCATCCCTCCTACCCTGTAAGTGGCGTCCACACAACAGGCTGCTTGCACCCTTTGGGGAAAAACGAAACCCCAAGTGTCATTACTCTCTTAAATTGTTACCCGCCTTCCACTTTGAGGCCTGTCCCAGGGCAAGTTGCGACAATGGAGAATGCAGTTTGAAAGGGTCTAAAGACTTCCAATAAAATATCACCACCAAAAAACAGGGCGAGGATTAGCACTGGACCCAACCTTATAGCTTGCACCAAATGCTAATCCTACTCAGAGTAGACTCATTGAAATGCATGGACATGGCTAACTTGGGTCTGTTGATTTCAGTGGGTTTGTTCTGGGTAAGACTGACTAGCACTGGATACAACCCAGTGTGGCAGAGTCAACTAAGTTGCTGCACTAATGGAAGCCGGCGCAACAGAACCTGCTAGCACAACATGACTCTCTCCCCTGTCCTTCCCTTGCGCCCCCCTTGGAGCTGCTTGGGAGATTTGATGAACCCCCAGAACAGCCCATGGAGGAGGAGAGGCGGGATCATCTGGCCCAGATGACTTCTGTTGTCAGGCAGGCCAGCAAGACAATGCCTGAAAAGGGAGCTGCAAAAATGGCACATTATACTGTACAACTTGTGCTTCCGGTTGCCAGCAGATAAGGTGGCAGATCGGTGGGCATTGCCAGAGGTTGATATTCATGGGACGCACCAGGTCTGCTTCCATGCATTTCATCTCAAATGGATCAGTTTTGGGACTGTATTCCACATATCCGCTCAGCGTCTATCAAAAAAAGGCAAAAAAGAAAAAAGGCAGAGGCTTCGCTCTCCCTCCCCTTGCCAAGAACTTCATAAAACCGAAATCGTCCAAGTGAGACTTATAAAAGAACAAATTAGAAATATGGGGAAGGGGTATATAAAAACAGGTCCCATTAGCAGGCAATTTGGCTAGAAGCGAAGATGGTAGCTTCATTAATAGGGCAATTTAGCTGAGGGGGTTTTTTAGAGGGGAGGGGCAGGTGTGTGCGCGCGCCACAAATATTTGTATGCTATAAAAATGCAAAAAGACGAAGACAAAGCCCTGTTATTTTATTTCCCTGGCAATATTGGTTTGCTAATTGTCCTATTACAATCCTGGCAATAAAGTGGATATTGGTTTATCGCAAAAGAGTGCAGGTTGGAGACATTTGAATAAAAGGAATAGCACCTGGAACTGTGCTGAAATTGAGTTTGAAACAATGGAATAATTTGAGGCCACCTGGCAACGTGAGAACATAGGAAGAGCCCTGCTGGATCAAGCCAAAGGCCCGTCTAGTCCCAACATCCTGTATCCCCACAGTGGCCAATCAGATGGCTCCAGGAAGCCCCCAGGTGGTGCGTGAAGGCAGCAGCCCCCTCTCACTGTTATTCATAAGAGCAGCCCTGCTGGATCAGACCAAAGGCTCATTCTATTTTCACAGTGGCAGACTAAATGCCACTGGGAAGTCTGCAAGCAGGACCTGCATACAACAGACCTCTACTGATTTGCATTGCCCAGCAACTGCCATTCAGAGGCACACTGCCTCTGCCAGCCAGACCAACTGGAGCAGGGGCAGCAGGTTGACCCCTACATTGGGGTCACATCCAGTGGGAGATACCGCTGGGAGAAGGAGGCGGAGGGCGGTCCTTGCTTGGCTTCCTCCTCCCTGCATGGGGAGTTAGTCATGATGATTACCGTATTTTTCGCTCTATAAGACTCACTTTTCCCCTCCTAAAAAGTAAGGAGAAATGTGTGTGCGTCTTATGGAGCGAATGCAGGCTGTGCAGCTATCCCAGAAGACAGAACAGCAAGAGGGATCGTTGCTTTCGCTGCGCAGTGATCCCTCTTGCTGTTCTGGCTTCTGGGATTTGGAATATTTTTTTTCTTGTTTCCCTCCTCTAAAAACTAGGTGAGTCTTATGGTCTGGTGCGTCTTATAGAGCGAAAAATACGGTAACTTCAGAGAATCTGCTTTGAAGAGGTCTAGCAGTAGCCACAACTCAACAGTAGCCTTCCCATCAACCTTTCTCCTCCCTTGAGTGCAACATTTCAAATTGTGGACAGACAACCTTTCTCTTAACTGGAGGCACCAGGGATGGAACCGGTGACCTTTGGCCCTTCCCCCAAAGTTGACATACAGCTGGGAGAGGCGGAGCCCAGGTTAGGGCGGAGCCAAGATGGAACCATGTGGGCTCAGGGGCGGAGCCTGGCACAGTCTGCTGGGTCTCTGTTGGAAACTGGATGGAATCAGGAGGTGGAGGAGATCCAGGGCAGAGCCTGGTGGGGCCTAGAATGCAGATTTGACTGCTTTTCAGACTCCAGTACTCATTTGCCTTATAGAACAAAAGGTTTTGCAGGCAGAACCAATACAATCCTAGCTGGTTAGGAATCAGGGATGGAATCAGCACCTGGTAGCATTGGACAGCTCCTTGGGTCAAACCACATGACAGGGCCCACCATTAATTTATCTGCCCTGGTGCAGTCCTTCAAGCTGCGCTGGGTTGCTGGGTCTAGCTGCCATCTGGATTTACCACACTGCCAGCCTGCCTCCTCCCTATGAGTAGAGCATCTCTCTGGCTTCAGTTTATATAAGATGATTCCAAACTCCAAACCTCTGCCCAAACTTTTTGGGTGGTATTCTGTTGACTCACTGAAATTCCTGAATCTCGGTTTGCCAATGGGTCTGCTCTGAGTGGGACTAGAACAGGATATAACCCCTTGCTTCCCATTCTCAAATGGAGGGAGCTGCTAGCCCTTGTGCTGCCCCATGTTAAACATGGATTTACGCAGCAGCGTATCCCCAAAGTGCCTACAAGGCTTCCCAGCGCTTTGCCTGTCATGCTTAGCATTGCATCTCCAGTTTGAGCACAGGATGTTAAGTAGATAGTCTTAATTTCTAATTTTTAGGGCTTCAAAAAAGGAGACATTTCAAGAGAGGATGAGTCTAAGGAATGTCATTGCTCTTTACTGTACAGTCTAGCACCTGAACTCAGTGCTTGCTTCCCTCTTTCGCCACAACGGGAGATAAAAGCCAGAACGGTACATGCCCAACAACACAGCCAGCAGCTGGTATTTTTAAAACCCAAATTAATACTTTGAATACACGACAGAGGGGGCGGAGAGGATTGTGGTAATAATTAGCCACCAAGAGAGGTGGAGGGGGTGTGTGTGAAACTACAAATGCAAAGTCTGGGAGGGAGAAAGGTTGGGGGCTTATGCTTTAATAATGTGTGTCAAAATATATACAGCGAGCCTGAAAGTGCGTCTTTAATCTTGAAAGGGAAGAATCCTGGGGGACAGCCCTCTTTGATCTCCTTATGTTTGTAATTATGGAGCCTCCCCGTATTAGGCAGAGACGGGGACGTGTTTCAACGGAACGGGAGCTCCTTCCCCTCTTGCGCCTCCTGTCACTGATGTGTGTATCTCTCGAGCCAGGGTTTCAGGATAAAGTGTCTCAAAATGGCTCTTAACCGCCACTGCCGTTGGGGGGGGGGGCAGGAGCAGCAATGGAGGTGGAGGGGTGTGAGAGAAAGAAGCAGAAAAAGAGAGAGGTGCTTAAAAAATCAGCCCACAGCAGCTATTCAGACATGGCTTCTGTGTTTGCATCAAGGATATGCAGTTAGTCCCATGTGTCCTTCTCACGCATTTTCCTCTGCCCTCCTCTTCCCTTCTTCCTTATGTGTCATGCCTTCTTAGATTGTAAGCCTGAAGGCAAGGACTGTAGGTTAAAAATAAATAAATCTGTAAGCCGTTTTGGCTGAAGAGCTGAGTATGATATCCCCTTTAAAAATAAAGTTCAATAGTGTATTGACATAGAGATACACAGAGAGAAAACAATGTAATTAAATGAAAATGAAAATTACACACACACACACACACACACACACACACACACGCGATACACATCTGGGTATTCTGGGGTTAATATATCAAACAACCTAAACAAACTTTGCCAAGTTAATGTTATACCCCTTATATGAGTGGAATATAAATACTAGGGCTGCGCATGCACAACAGACCTGATCCAGGGCCCTGATCCAGACCCCCAAATCACTGGGACCTGGGACCACCCAACCCAACCCAGACTCAGTCAGTCCTGAATCAATCTGAGGGTGAGGCTGGTGTTTAATTAGGGCTCTGGTCGGTTTGTTATAAAACACATCTGGGGTGTAATAATATTCAACTTCCTCTGATTATCACAGTGCAGGGTTAAAAAGGAATTTAGTGGGACTATGTTTTGTTGTTGTTGTTGATGATGATATTAATATTTAAATTTATTTACTGTCCTATACCCACAAGTCCCAGGGAGGTTGCTATGTACCAGATCTGGTCAAATCCTGGATCCTGAACCAAATCAGTCTGATGTGGGTCAACCCAGAATTCGGCAAGATTGGGTTGAGGGAGCCCCAGAACACTCCAGGTTGTTTGAAAGCTCCACTGGTGTAAGAATGTAATGGGGGGGGGGGAGAAGAGAGACAGGCATCCTC